TTTTTTTTTTTTTTTTTTTTTTTTTTTTTTCTCTTTGTACTGGGGATTGGGTCCTTGCGCTTTTGAGGCAGGCAGCAGCACCACTGAGCTAAATCCCCGGCCCCTCTCTTACTGTCTTATACAAATGAAGAAAGGTGTGTAGCTTGTTTACCTGTACCTCAGCAGAAAGAAGGGAAGACTAAAACAGCACTCATGATGAGACTGGAACCAAGCTCTGTGGGATTCAGTAGGTGTGTATTAATGAAAAGCATCTTTTGTAGCTCAATGTGTAGGATTTCTTCTATGTCTTAATTTCTCAACATCTTCAAGATCAGATTTGCTCATGTGTATCCCCAAAGGACTGACTTTTCTATGACTACCAGTCCTGTTTATCCACTTTTGCTACCCCATCAGTCATGGTGAAAAAGTAAACAAAAATAATACACTTTACTTGCACCCCTTCTGTTTACCCATGCTATACTGATTTCTAGAAATGTAGGCACACTTAATGCTATTTTCTTTACACTGAGCTATATCCTGGCCCTTTTTTTAATTGGTTGAGATAGGATGTTGCTAAGTAACCAGCCTGGGCTTGCACTTTCACTCCTCCTGCCTCACCCTGTCATATTGCTGGGATTACAGGTGTGTCCCATCATGCCTGGATACACTTTGCACATTTTAAGTGAGTGGTTGGGCACACTTTTTTTCTAAAAGTGATTTAAAATAAGGATGAAGAGTTGAGGAAGAACAAGAATTTTTTTATACCTCTTTGTCTTGACTTCTCTTTTATAGATCTCTTTCCCTTCCTTTTCATCTCCTTCTTTTATTCCTTTCCACCTTCTTATATCAGGCAACATTTTCTATAAACATTCTTTGATGTTTTTGGTATCCATTATGCCTGAGAAAGTGAAGCTTATCTGAGAGGAGGTCAGTTCATTTCTACTGAAAATATCAGCCTCCTTGGAAAGTGCTCTGTGATGGAAAGGTGACTTCACATGCCTGTGAAGCATTAAGATATGTACTTTCAGTTACTGTTCCTTCTGCTTGCTAGACTGCTTTCTCCCTCACTTCCATTTATTTGGCAAACCTCATTTCATATTCCAAAGACACCCTCCAAAAGCTCAAGCATAGTGGTTGCTTTGCTACTTTTTCTAATTCTTCGGGGTAGTCAGTGACGCCCACTACAGGTTTTTCATGCCTCTCTAATATCCCATATAATGTTTATGGTTTGTTTATGTCTCCCAGAGACTGTGAGCTTTTTCACTTTATCTTAGCCAAAAGGCCAAGAAATGATGAAGGACTGAGCTTTTTCAAGGGTAGGAACAGCATGTTCTTATTTTGGTAAATGATTCTTGACTAGCTTATTCTTCATTGAATAGGCTTTATTCCCTGTTTTCAAGGGCTTCACTATTTAATACAGCTGATTATCAATCACAGATAGTCATGGCACAAATTAGAATGCCCTTATTACCACAGAGAATGGAGAAGCCTCTTCTTGCTGTGGGAATTAGCGACATCTAGGTTATTCCAGGCCTTGGGGATGAGGTAGCATTTGTAATGGTCCTTGAAGGGTGAGTGAAATGTGGGATTAATGGTATATAGCTTTTCAATGTCTTTATTAGCAGTAATTTAAGTTCATAGGGGCTATATTATTTGACATGTATTCAATAGCCTTAAAATTTTACTTAGAAGTAAAGTAGTTCGCATATTTGTTTATCTTGAATCATTCATCAGTTGATTATGTAAAGGAATGCATCTAGGATTACCGTTACGTGCTCTGTCTTTATGGACAACAGTCATATATTCAGGAATTAATATTTGGGGTGAGATTTTTTTTTTTAGATAATGTATCTGAATGTAACCAATTAAAAGAGGACATGAAGTTAAATTCCATATGTCCTGTTTCATTGATTTTCTTTACTCATTTTAGCAACAGACCCCTTTGCTTCTGTTTTTGGAAATGAATCCTTTGGAGATGGATTTGCTGACTTCAGCACATTGTCAAAGGTAACTTGCATTGATTAATGGGAAGCGAAAATGTTTCCATCAAAGGAACCCTCACTACAGTAAGTCATAGCAAATGTTGACTTCAGATAGAAATGAAAGATACACTCTAAACTAGACATTTGTTTACATAAACAGACTGTGGTGATGGTAATGGACAAGTATAATTTTCTGCTGACAGGTTTACTCAGTGATGTCACTTTATGTAAATATGTTTCTTCCAATTAAACTATATTTTCCCTCTCTGTACTATCTGAGTTAATAGCTGTAACACTCATTCCATTCTCTGTTGGCTACTCAATTTTGTGCTCTGAGGTGGTAGGGTCAGTAAAAAGGTAATGAATACACAAAGCCCAGTACTAACTGTCCTCTCCATATTTTCCAGCGTAGCTCTAGTGTTGATTCAAAGCAGGAGAGAACGGTCCAAATTCTCTCTCAAATTGTCTGTGTCATTATCCTCCAAAGACTGTTTAGCAATGTCGAGATATTTTTGTCTTTTACCACTAGGTGAAAGGTGCTGCTTACATCTATTAGACAGTGGCCAGAAATGCTGTTAAAAACCCTGCAGTGTACTGCCTGGGCCCCTACAACACAGTATTATGTCCAGCCACAGATGTCAGCAGTGCCAGTGTTCAGATACAACACTGGACTGCATGGATTTACAATCTTAAGGTCTGATTCATTGTAGAGGTGAATCTTCTGTTACGCCACATAGTTGAAAGGCAGGACCTTTAGACCTACATTAGGACTTACTATTCCATGAAGTCAGTTTGCTTTTAAAAACTGGCTCTCAGTTTGTCTTTATAGTTTGTCTAGGCACCGTTTTCTTTGCGTTAGTATCAAATCTTTCCATATTTAAGTTCATTCCAAAGTATGGAGTCCATATTTTTTTCCTTTCATTATCATTTAACTCATATATTCATTTTAGAAAAGGCATATAGTTTCTTTAAAATGGACCTTAGTTGGTTTTGTAGTGAATAATGCCTGCTGAAGTTTGACAGTCCTTAAATCTAGAGTTAACTTGTTTTGGTGTCATCTGTTGCTCTGTATAAATAGTGATGTTTAAAATATAGAACAATGTTTTATAATTATTTGTCCTTATATGCAAAGGTTAAAATATCATTGCTTTCAAAACTAAAATAAAGCTGCATTTTACTTAATTTTTCCAAATGATACATGTTAACGTTAATACTTCGCTTTGTAATGCTGTACACACACACACACACACGTGTGTGTGTGTGTGTGTGTGTGTGTGTGTGTGTGTGTGTGTGTATGTGTGTGTATCCTGTGTGTAAATGTTATTTTTTTAAACAAAGGTCAACAATGAAGACCCTTTTAGTTTACCTACATCAAGCTCTGTCAGCAGTGTGGTCATTCCAAAAAATGCATTTGAGGAAACATCAGTCAAGAATGAAGATGTACCCCCAGCACTGCCACCAAAGACTGGAACTCCAACGAGACCCTGCCCACCACCACCTGGTAGGAGAGACAGTGCCTTTTCTAAATCAACTCAATGGCCTTTCTCTTTCTGAAAAGTATCATGTAGGCCTCACTTATATACTTAAGTATTGTAGAAAGAGCACTAAAACAAGTCAAGTGCATGGCAGAAGCTTGCTGCTGTCATTTGACCTCAGTGCAGAATTACAACCATGTGCCTAAATCCAGCACGTGTAACCGGCACGAACTGCCTTTCTGGCAGCCATCGTTTCCCCCCCCTTAATCCTTTCATAGAGGCAATAAATGAGAAAGAGGCAGTACAGATGAAATCTCTTGCTTTTTGGAAGCTTATTGATCATCATTTGAAAAGCACTTTGCTGTACTCTGGTGTTTTAATTGATTTTTATAGGAGAAAGTTAATCCTATTCTTTCAAATGTATAGTCTTAAATCCTTTGATGTGAAAAACATAATGGTATATGGTATCCAGAATTCATTAGTATAGTGGTTTAAAAAGAAACCATTGCCTTTCTTGAAGGAAAGTATGTTTAGCCCACTTAAAAGACTCCTTTATTTTATAATAGTGATGGAGGGTGGTCAGGAACAAATTCTTTATAGTTTTGTTTTTTGATTTTGTTTCATTCAGAATATTCATATGTGTGTGTTTAGTGCTGTATGAAGGAAAAGTGTGTTTTATAAGAAGTGGCTGGAGCAGTCCACTGAGTAGTAGAGCTGCTAAGCTGTCCTGTGAAAGGATACCTTTGACACATTGGTTTTTTAATTCCGTATCATTCCTCAATGTATTTGGTAAATTTTCAGCCCCCGTAGTTAATGGGCAGATTTTTTCCTTTTTTTAGACTTAAACATTGCATGTACCATTGTTAATATTCACTCATCTTTTTAAAAAATCAGGTAAATAAGTGGGTGCTCTCTTTAAAGGGAAAGTAGCCTATGTCAAATATTGCTGGAAGTAAGGTTGCAGAATACATGAAGAGATAACAGAAAATAAGTGATAGTTTCTCATTTAAAGGATTTATGCTTATATGATGCCAATATTGAAGTTATTTTAAAATCCTAAATAAAATACTGTACTTGTGCCTTAATTAAAGTGAAAAATCCTCCGAGTGTATGTTATTGTAGTTAGAGCAAGGAAAAAAGGGTTTTTTTTTTTTTTTTTTTTTTTTTTTTTTTTTTTTTTTTTGGAAAGAGCACTGACTGGAGTCTCACATCTAATTCATAATATCCCCCAGCTTGCTCTGTGATTGTTATTTCTGCTTTTGGCAGTGCTGGAGATTGAACCCAGGGCCTTGCACGTGCTATAGGCAAGCAGTACCACTGAACTGTACTCTCAGCCCTTGCTCCTGTGATCGCGAATATATATATAACTTTATATATCTAAGCCTCAGTTGTTAGATAGCGGTAGTAACTAACTCTGCCTACAATTACAAGATCCATCCAGAAAGGAGTATAAACATCTTGTAAGCAGCTATAGTGATGGGAAATCTGTTATGATTGCTTTTACCAGCTTAATGCATTTTAGGAAAAGAAGATACTTGAAGGCCAGGGATTTGGCTCAGTGGTTCTGCCACCTTCCTTGCAGGTGCACAAGGACCAGAGTTCAATCCCTGGTACCAAAAAAAAAATTTTTTTTGAAGATATTTTAATATCCTCTTATTTCATTTTTTCTTCAAGAAGTACTAAATTTAAGACTTAAAAGTTTAGAGAACTTGCTTGAAAGTAGTATTAAGTTAACTATATGAGTAGTAACTGCTAGGACAGTATATTGTTATTTAGTTGAAGAATAGCTTGCCAGCAATCATAAGATACAGGCCTTGGACACAATATTGTATGTGACAGTAAGCAGGGTTTTGTCAAGGTGATTTTTAATTTTATGCTACTAGGTACTGTGTATGTAGATACAGAGAAAAATCAGAAGAATTTTGCTAACTTTTCAAAGGTTATTACTATCACTAATGGATCATTGTATAAATATTGGGCTGATGTTATAAGAGAAACCTTTGCTGTATTTATTCTTTATTATTTTCCTCCTGGTACTATACTACTTTTAGAAGGGATGGGTTTAATCTTTCGACAAAAATACAACTCCTGGCACATCCTCTGTTTGATGATTTTTATTTAGCTGTACCTAGCTGTGAATGTATTTGAGAGATTGTTGGTGTGTCCATTTAAGTCAATATTAAGAATGTATTTTGAGTCTTCATCCCATTCTCCACCCACAGTTCTTTACAGTTCCCTGTCTGTATGTTCTGTGTGCTTGTATGCCATATTCACTGGTTGAGTTAATTGTAATGATTTTGATCCAGGGAAAAGACCCACCAACAAATTGGATTCTTCTGATCCCTTTAAAGTGAATGATCCATTTCAGCCTTTCCCAGGCAGTGATAGCCCCAAAGAAAAAGATCCTGATATGTTTTGTGATCCATTCACTTCTTCTACTTCTACTACTGCCAATAAAGAGGCTGACCCAAGCAATTTTGCTAACTTCAGTGCTGTAAGTACTGTGAATGGGCTGTTTGGGGGAAAATCTTTCCATTGACAGTTTGAAGAGTTTTCGGAGATTATGTTGGATCCTGCCAAATTTGTATTATTTCATCTAAATTTACCAACATACTAAAATGATCTTCAATTCTTTCCCCAGGCAAAATATTTGTTTGATTCTCCTTTGATAGTTCTAAAATTGTTCTATTAGTAATTTTAGTTCTTGTGATATATAGAAGTTGTTTTGTAAACCCTTCTCCTAGAATATAAACATAAATAAAATCTTGACAGTTACTATTTTTCAGATGGTTATAGGTGAGTGGTGACTTAATGGGCCAGTACTCACACAGTAATCCACTGTCTGCTTACTGGATGAATAGTGCCGGTAATAAGCTGTGTATTTGTAACTGTGTGAGTGTTTGTATATAAAATTTTAATGATTTCCAGAGGCGGCAACTATTGTATGAGGGTAGGGCCAGGGGTTCTTTCAATAGAAAGTAAAATAGCTTCTCAGTCTTTTGGCTAAGATCAAGTGACTAGAAAGTAACACTATTCACTCTGCTTACATTGTAGTTTATTTGTTTCTCTCTTGGTGCTGGAGATTGAACTTTATTCCTTGTGCATACAAGTGTGTGCTCTACCACTGAGCTATACCCTCAGTCCTATGGTAATTTTCTAAAAATGTTACTGTGAGTGGGAGTACGTCCCTATAATCCTAGCAGTTGGGAGGCTGAGGCAGGAGAATAATGCATTCAGAGCCACCCTAATCAACATGGTGAGTTCAAAGCTAGGGTGTGCTACATAGTGAGACACTATCTTTAAAAAAAAAAAAAAAAAAAAAGTTACTGTCAGTAGGACATGGTGATGCATGCCTGTAATCCCATCACTTGAGAGGCTGAGGCAGGAGGACCATTACATTTCAAGTCCTTCCTGGGCAACTTAATGGGACCCTGTCTCAAAATGAAAAAATACAAAGAGCTATAAAAGAGCTCAGCGTAAAGGCCCTCAGTTCCATCTGGAGTATGACGGGGGGAAATGTTACTGTCTGCTGTGCATGGTGGTGTGCACCTGGTAATCTCAACTCCATGGAAGGCTAAAGTGGGAGAGCCTAGGAGTTCAAGACCAATCTAGACAACATAACAAGAAATCCCGTCGTAAAAAGAAAGTTACTGTCAGTTTTAAGAAATGAATTATTTTCAGGATCTAAGCAGTCTTTATCTGGAGCGCTCTTAATTCACCAGCCTCCTGTATTCAGTCTGCGTTCTCTCAAAGCTGACTAAAAAGAATGGGTGTCAGAAATCACAGAAGGTGGTATGAACGCATTGTCATAAATTGCACTGTTATTCAGATAAAACCAAGTTTTAAATAACATTCTCAGAGTAGCTAACAAAGTCTCATTTTCTCAGTTTTTTGTTTTCCAGGTAAAATGGTCTTCATTATCATTGCCTCTTACATAACACATAAATTTTCCTCTGTCCATCACCTTACTCCCTTGATTTTGGAAGGTGATACTGGCCACACTCTGTCTGTCTCCCTTCTCAGCATAGTGCAGTATTGGGTTATTCAACAAGTTCTTTTATTCCTGCCACTGCTAGTCGTTAGCAGACAGGCAAGAATCTGCTTGCACTAAAGACAGCTGCACTGCACCACTTTTAAATCTACACTCCAGCAGTTTTTGTGGAATGGAAGGAATAAAATAGAAATCAGTATTTTGAATATTGTATGACTATTCTGTGAGAATTAGTTTCAGCAAATCCAAATTTGGTTAGAAATGAGTCTTGAACAATAAGTGAGGCATTTTGCTTATTTCCTATTCCGGTATCTCCATATAATCTAATATAAAGCAGTCATAATAATAAAAAAAATCCTCCTTTTTTCATTGTAAAAGATTTGCTAAGTTTTATAGGTCCTCTAAGTCCCTAGAGGAAAATTTTTCAAGAAGTTTCATAATTACTTTCTTTCTTATTTATTTATTTATGGTACTGGGGATTGAACTCGGGTCCTTGCACTTGCTAGGCAGGTGGTGGGACCAACTGAGCTAAATCCCCATCCTCTTTCATACTTTTATGAGGCTGCTCTGTGTAACAAGATTTGAAACCAAGTATTTTATATTTGTAGTTTCTGCCAAAGTTGCTATTTTTGTGGGTAAAACTATTTCCCTGGTCTAATAATCACCAGTATTAAGGTTTTAAACAAACAAACAAAAACAAAACAAAAAAACAGTTAAAAAAGCTCTCAAAGCCTGCCAGAATCTTCAAAATGTTTATGTAAAAACAAAAAAAATGATTTGGCTCATATCTTGCTAGTATATTCAATACTTTTGAAGACTTTCTTTATTCATAGTTTTACTATACCTGAAAGATTAGGATATGATGGAAAATCACCTGTAGGGATTAAGTTTAAAAAGATTTATCATATGAGGTGGCTCTCTAAAGTTTAAAGAAAGTAGTAAAAAAAATATCTAATAAACATTAAATTAAAAAGTTTATGACCTCCTGTTTTTAAATCTTATATTCTACTTTAAACATGTTGACATTTATAGACTTTCTATATGTAGATTACATTAATTTTTTAAAATAAGCCAGTTTACTAACTGGTTAAAACTAAACATGTTTAGCTGGGCATGGTAATGCACACCTAAAATCCCAGTGCTTGGCAGGCTGAGGCAGGAGGATTGCCAAGAGTTGGAGGCTAGCCTGGGCTCCATAGTGAGTTCAAGGCCAGTCTGAACTACAGAGAAAAAAGCAAACACAAAAAATATGCTTTCAGGAGGAACAAAAAGAAGTAAAAAGACTTTCTAGTGTCCTTCAGAGGTAACAAACAGTTAGTGTTCTTTTTTAAAAACTATTTTCTCTTCTTTTCCTTTTGTTTTGCTTGTTCATTTATTCATTCGTTCATTTCATTTTTTTCCCCTGTCTTTTCAATGGCAGTATCCCTCTGAAGAAGACATGATTGAATGGGCCAAGAGGGAGAGCGAGAGAGAGGAAGAGCAGAGGCTTGCCCGACTGAACCAGCAAGAACAAGAAGACTTAGAACTGGCTATTGCACTTAGCAAATCTGAGATATCAGAAGCATGAAGAATTCTCTTGTCCTTTGTCAAAAATACAATATTCTTCTTCCTGAATGTTAAAGCTATTTACCGTGTGTATCAAAACTACCTATGAGCATGGAAACACAAAGGGTTTAAGATTCCTGTAAATGTGACAAAGTCTAGGGGTTTTTGTTTTGTTTTGTTTTTTAAGAACTCTGTTTCACATTTGTCTCTTATTTTTTCCTCAAAAAGCAGTCAGATGAGACAGTGTCACAGGCTCCTGTCTGGTGTGCATTTACTGTGAGCTTCTGCCTGCCTTTGCTACATCACTGTACCTAGAGCACCCAAGCTTCTGTGTTCACCCTGTGCCACCCTTGACCTGTAGTCATTCTGGGGAGCCAATGGGGTTCTTCTAGTTCGCAGTATTCTCCCCTGCTCTGAATGGTTGAAGGAGGGGAAGGGAAGAACCTATTTCTTTTATGATTGGTATAAATTGGCTAGTTTAAAGTGCATCTTTAAATTTCCTTATAGTAAAATACTATTTAATTTGTTTTTTAGAGACAAGGAAAAATATTTTGCATAGATCAACTCCGCTGTTGAAAAAGGGCTGCTTTGGGTTGAACCATTTTAATTTGAGAGTCAAATTTTTCCTAAATAAAAATGTTAAAGTTTCATGTGTGAAATATATTTTTAAAAACAATTTTCTCTGGATTTGAAGAATCTTAGATCAACAAGTATGTTGCTAATTAACAAAATCAATGTCTTACAAATAAGATTTGTAAGAAAATGTTCATATTAAGTGCCACAGAGAAACTTTATCACAATATTAAAATACACTCATTAACCAAAACTCCTAACATGCAGCCATTTCTACCTTTGCTTTGGCATTGTCCTCTTTAATTCATGATAGGTTTATTCATATACTTTTGTAAAAGAACCTTTAGCAAGGTAGAACTGGAAGGTACTTTAATTTTTCTTCTTTTGTTTTATTTCTTGTTTAACGAAGGCCCAACTACTTGAAATATAAAAACTCACTGAATATAAATGGAAAAGTGACATGTATTATATCATATCGCTTTTTGTTCATTTTTTTGGTTTAGTGTATTTACTCTCCCTGATTTTCATCTATAAAATTGACATGCTAGCAAAAAAATGCAACTGGGAAAGAAAAGAGCCGCCAAAATATCAAAATTTTTCATGTGTTAAAAGCCCATTAGCAGACAAGCCCAGACCAAGCAGAAAGTTGAATTTGAGAGACGGTGAAGTAGTCTGTAATTGTACTCTACTTTTAAGCATGTGTGACTGACTTTACGGGATTTATTAAATACCAGGATATTGAAAAGTGCACCTGAAAACTAAAGTTCTCTGGGGTCACAAGTCGAGGTGGTATTGATCAATATTAACAAACTAAGTTATTACCTAGTCTATAAATAAATTCATCTAATTTCATCTTGAAATGGTGCTTTTTTTCTTTTACACACAATTGGAAAGCTGGCATTTAAAACAAACCACTTTCTTGCACTGCTAATAACTTTTCTACTTTTGTAAATAGAAACATTGCAGCCTAAAAAAATCAAATATATGAATCAAAGGCTGAATCATAATCACAAGGCTTTAATTTTGATAAACTAATTCAGTGACTAAGGATTTACTGCAAACATTGATTGAGAAAGTAGCATTGGGAGTTGTGGTAGGTTGAATTTTCTGGGAGATTTTTTTCCTTCCCCTTACTCTTCAGGAAAAAGGTAAGTTGACTTGAACAACCTTCTTTTGCACTGGGAAAATGAACAAATGTTTGAAATGCTTTTAAAAATATTTTTTTAATTAAAAAACACTCTGGAAAATATTAAGTGTCTGTAACTTATAAACACCAACTTCTGATGTAATACGTGTACCCTAATCTTAATGTATGCTTAACTGGATTATAGATTCTTATCTTTTGTTAAAATATGTATACTCAGTGGACCAATATAATATTATGTATATATTATATAAATATATATTCTCCATGCTTGCTTGTGTAGGATGAATGTCTTAGAGTCAGTTGTGGTATTTTCTGTTGACCCTGGCTTGAAAGCCTGCGCTTGAAAAGGACAGATACCATTGCCAAAAGCTAAATGGCACTACTTTGAGAGTTTTAACCATCTTCTATACACCAGTTCAGCTTTACTTGGGCTTTCTTTATAGAATTTTCTCTTACCTTTCAAACTTCTAAATTGTAGGTTGTAATTATGAAAATAATAAACTTTAAGTAATAATAAAGCATCCTATCCACATATCCGGCCAACACTGGAGTTTTTCAGTCCTCTGTGTCTGTACTATACAAGGAGGAATGGGTGTGCAATCACACAATGTGTGTAAAATGTGTGGGACAGTACCTGGTATAGAATAAATAATACATGTCAAACTCATTTTTATTTATTTAGTCCTGTTTTTGTGAAAGGTTAGGAAATGTGTACAGAGACTGTGCCTGAAACACGTGGCCTTGTCTGTTGACATGGAGCCTTGGGAGGCACAGTGATCTAATAAGTTCGTCCACTCCTAGGCTTGAATCCCTGCCATTTTTGGGAAAGTCATGTAAAGGTTACTTTGGTACATGTATCCTCTCTGAACTTCATGTCCCTCATATAATAAGCGCCTTCACACCTAACTCACAGAATTGAGTTCAGTGTAGCTCAGTGAGTAGAGGTTAGGGTTGTGGGCAGAAGTGTGGTTGCTGATGTTTGTATGTAAGAAAGAGCTCCTTGGTGGTGGTGTGCTTGCTGTAGAAGCAAACCGGATAAAACAGAGAGAGCAGGTAGTTGCTGCAGTCATCGAGCTCAGATGCTAAGAACCTAAAATATGGTTGTAGCTGATGCCCAAGAAGAAAAGGGAATAACTTGAGAGCGAATGATTTAGAGTTAACAAGCGTTAGGGTTTGAATAGATGCAGTTGGGAGGAAAGGAGTAATTCCCAAAACTTAGCAAGGATCAGGATCGTCTGGAAAGTGTCTTAAAATTCAGATGGCTGGATCCCGTCCTGAGTTCCTCATTCATAGATTTACAGTGAGACTCAAGAATTCACATTTCTAGCAATTCCCAGGTGATGATGGTCCAGAGACCTCCCTTTGAGAACCACTAGTGTAGTAGAAGATAATTTATAAATCTCTCTGTGAGTTTTATTTAATATACACCTTGTCATCTGTGCTTAGCCCCTGGACTCTCCTGTCTGGTGTAAAGACCTCCAGTTTTTCTTGGGGTTGCAAAGAATTTAAAAATCGCAAGCTAACGCTTACACAGTGGTTCCTCAGTGCCCAGACAATCCTCTCCACGATTCTGATCACAGACCGAACTACATGAGACCCAAATCAAATTTCCCCATAAGGTCAACGTTGAACCTAACTGTTGAATTTGATGTGGTTCTTGTGAATCGTGGAAATAATTAATGAACTGAGTTACCACTGTATAGCGCTTACTATGTGCCTGTTACTGTTTGAAGCAATTTATATATTTAATTCCTTTAATTTACACAACCTTTAAATTAGATACTGTTATTCCCAGTTTACCATAAGAAAACTGAAGAACAGAGAGGTTAAATAATTTGCTCAAGGTCACAGATCTAAAAAATCCTGGAGGGCCAGGGATTTGGCTCAGTGGCCTGCCTAGGAAGTGCAAGGTCCTGAGTTTGATTCCTGATACAGGAAAAAAAAAAAAAAAAGTGCTAGGCTAGGATTCAAACCCAGGCTTGTGAGGCATGGTGGCTCACATCTGTGATACCAGCACTGTGAGAGGCTGAAGCAGGAGGATCAAAAGTTTGAGTCCAGCCTGGGCAGTTTAGTGAGACCCTGTCTCAAATTTTTTAAATGAATAAAGGGGTAGGGATATACCTCAGTTTGAAGGTCCTGGGTTCAACCCCCAGTAACATACCAGAAAAAAGGCCAGTTTTTTCCAGAATCTATATTTAATTACGCTGTACTGCTGGGAAAGGTTACAGTAAAATGCTGTTTTCCATGCCTAGATCTGTAGTGCACCCCTTACTGTCAGAAAATTCCACGTTGAGTTCTTAACATGCACAGTGAGAAAGTCATCCTTCTGTTGATCTTTGCTAAGACCTATTTCCTAGGCCCAGAACAGAGAAGACACGTATGAGGGCTTTGCCTTTGTGGTACAGTAACAGCAGGAAGAGCTACCTGCATTTCATTTCCCAACATTGCATGCTGGAAATACCAGAGGGTGCTGGGGTCCAGAGACGGGAGAGTGGGTCCTGCTGAGAGGACTGGGGAGGGCTCCCCAGAAGAGGTGTCCCTAGGACACAGCATTCTGCCCCTCTCAGAAAAAGCATAATAACAAAAAAAATATTTTTGAAGGCACAAGGCCACATTGATGCTAGGGTTGGAGAGGCCTCAGTCTTCCAAGGGGCCTCATTTACGTGGCCTCCATTACTTTGGTGAGTTCAGCCTGGTTCAACTGTAGAATCTGACTTTCATCAGTCAAACAGCTCCTATTTAATGTACACAAGGACTAACAGAGACCACAGTGATACTTTCTGGGAAAAACAAAGTCACCCATGATTGTATGAGTACAATTTCCTCTCCTTAGTGCTAATGTGATTCCTGCCTCGGTCTCCTCTTAATCTTAGCAACCACAGCTGCCCAGGCCAGGGGGAATTTTTTTTTTTTTTATAATTAGGTTACACTCTGGTTTGCCTAGTTGGGCAACTATGTCTCTTTTGGATAAGTTTGCATATCTTTGTTTTGATCTGTTGTATATGAAATATGTGCTGTGTTAAAAGGTATTTTTAATAATGAAATAGACTCACTCAGTAGGTACTTCATCATAAGACAAAATGCTTGAAAGCTACCAGTTTTTAAAATTTATTTATTTATTTATTTATTTATTTATTTATTGGTACCAGGGATCGAACCCAGGTCCTTCTGCTTGCAAAGCAGGCAGCAGAACCACTGAGCTAAATCCCCAGGCCTAAAAAAAAAACTAAAAACATTTTTAAAAGTGAAAAGTTTAGTTCCTAATGTTATCTGTGCAAATATAATGAGATTGTCTTGAATTGGGCATGCTGGTACAGGCCTGTTGTCCCAGCTACTTGAGAGGTTGAAGCAAGATGATTATTTGAACCCAGGAGTTCAGGCCATCCTGGGCAATGATTGCAAGACCCCATCTCAACAAATAAATACATAAGTAGTTATCTGGCTTTGGAGTCTCCTACCTGTCAACCTCTCTTGTCCTTCATGGGGATAATAGTTCCCTCCCAGGGTTGTGTTAAGGCTTGATGATAGGGCTGGGAACTTAGCTCAGTGGTTCCACTGGCTGTCTTGCAAGCACAAGGACCAGAGTTTGATCCCTGGTACAAAAAAAAAAAAAGATTAAAGATGGTGGACATGAGCTATTGTGCCCATTTGTAAGAAGACAGAAAAGGTAATACACATTTTAGGAAAATGTTGATCGAATAAAGATATTAAATGTCAGTTATTTTAAAGTCATTTACACAGAACAGTTCATTCCTTCTGATTCTGGATAAAACTACCTAACACACAGCCTGTCTAGCACTCGTTTTAAATTGACCCCTCCAGTCCTTACACCAGCTCTTGTGATTTTCCTTATGTTCTTGGTGAGAAAACAGGAGCCCAGGTTAAGTGACTCACCTGATGTCACACATAGCAAATGCTAGGGCCAAGGTTCTAACCAGGCAGTGTGGCTCCAGAGTAAGGCCAGAGGAAAGGGATAGAACCTACCCCGCCCTGGGGTTGTTACAAGTTGCCAAGTAAGATAAGCTTGGGAAAGTAGCTCATAAATGTTTTGTGTGTCCTAAGCTTGTGCTGCAGGAGCAGCAGCAGGAGTTGGGATCTAGTCTGGCTGTTGTGTTGATTTCCTGCTCTGCCACTTAGCCAGCTGGTGTGATCTTGAGCAATTACTTAATCCTCTATACTTTCTCAGCTATTAAAATTGAGGTGTACCAGACACATAAGAGTTGTTCTGAGGATGTGAGTACTTGTAAACAGTTTAGAATAATGCATAATATAGTTATAAACAGATGGTGATGCAGAATAGGAAACAAAGCTAGGCATGGTGGCACATGCTTGTAATCCCAGTACTTTGGGAGGCTGAGGCAGGAGGATCCCTGTTCCAGGCTAGCTTTGGCTACATAGTGAATTCAAAGCCAGTCTCAACTACGTAATGAGATCCTATATCTAAACAAGTCCTGAAATTAAGAAATGTTGCCAGGCATGATAATGCATGCCTGTAATCTCAGCTACTCAGGCTGATGTGGAAGGATTGAAAGTTTGAAGTCAGCCAGATGAAACGCTCAAATTTTTGAAAAGGGGGTGGGGACGTTGCTCAATTTGAAGGCCCTGGGTTCAATCCCCAGTACAAAAATGCTGGGGTTAAACACCCAGCTTTTGATTTTTTTTTTTTTTAATCTTAGGAGCATCTGATGTTTAAAACATCTGAGTCAAATATTCTTAAAGAGTTGTCTGAATTCCAGGTAGTGTGTCTAAAGATACTACCACTTTTAGGGACAGGGATTTAGCTCAGCGGCACGGCGCCTTGCAAGTGCAAGGTCCTGAGTTCAATCCCCATACTGAAAAACAAAACTACCACTTTAGCATAGTTTCTGCACTGAGTAGCAGCTTGCTAGATTATTAGAGTCTTCATTTTCTCAACACTGCACACTAGGTGTAGCAATGGTGCTAGGCTCAGTGGAAGACAGATACTCTGTACCTTCACATAGAAATCTGAAGAGACTGCTGGGGATTTAGCTCAGCAGTTCAGCCACCTACCTTTCAAATGCAAGGTCCTAAGTTCGATCTCTGGTACCAAAAAAAAAAAAAAGAATCTGAAGAGACTAATGTAGGTAACTAATGCAAGGATTTACAAATGTGCTAAATAGTGTGTGAGAAACAGAAATGTAGCCTCTGAGGGGCTTCCTGAAGGAGGTGGTGGTGCTGCAGGGTCAGAGGCTAGATGAGGCTTCAGTCCTCTTGTTTTAGTCTGGGTTCTGGGCCTCAGGCTTCTGAAACCCTGCTGTTCCTGCCTGTGAGTTAGGGGACATTGGCAGACCACACTGTCCAGTGCTGTGCAGCTGGACAAGGCTTTGTGAGTGAGGGTTGGGGCAAGTTTACACTGCAAGTGGCAGGGCTGGCCAATGGTCGTGTGGGCAGATGAGCATCATTCTTGGCTCCTTGTTCACCTACCAAGACCATGAGTACTTGGAGAAATGCGGAACGGTCTGCCATCTTGGTCTACCGTGTAAGAATGACACACGGCACAGCTGCCCCAAGGGTCAGCTCCCACCTCGTGCCCAATGCAGGCAGGCTGGCAGGAAGGGGCAGGCATGCCTGAGACCTGGCTCCTCCACTTGGCTTCAGGGATAGTGACCACTTTTAACGTCAGTTCCATCAACTGTTAGGTGATCTATGAACATTTAATAAGCTGAAGATTAATGAGAGTTTATGTAAAATGCCTGGCTCGGGGTTTAGCACATTCAAGAATACCCAACTGGCCAGAATCAGTCATTTACTGGACCTAAAATTTGTATTGCATAAGCCCCGCCCCCAAGTGAGACACAAATGGCCTCAGCCCTGCTCTGTGTCCCCCGTACACACCCCATGAGAGAAGTCTGCAGCAGTCCCTGAGGAGCTGAAGACCTTTTCAAACCAGCCAAGGTGCTCCCTTTCCCTTTGTCCTTCGCTGAGCCCCCGCCAGAGACCTGCTGGACCACACTACCGGGGGCTCTCTGGTGCCAAAGCACACTCCACTTGTCGGTAGTAATCTGAAGTAACTAAAAGTACACAACGCCTAAGATAAAAAATAAGACTTCAAAGAAAGTTTGCACTGGAGACAGGGGTGGAAGCTCATCCTCCCTGTCTCCCAGCTCCCGCGGGGGCCTGGAAACTGGGTCACGTCTTGTACCAGGCCCAGGCCAGGCCCCAGACTCCGGCAGCGACTTCCCACCTCCGGGCCCCGGTCTATGTTGTACCTGACCCATGATCCAGTCGCCCGGCTCAGGCACAGGCAGCCCTGGCAGGCCAGTTCTGGTTCAGCTGTAGGCAGCAAGGAAAGGGTTCTTGGGGGCCCTGGTAGGGTCATCAGGCCGCCCAGCGGTATTCAGGCGGGGCTCCAGGCAACGAAGGCATGGAGAGGCTGCCCCCCCCCCGCCTCTGGCACAAGTCCCCAGGCGCCCTCTGGCGCCTCAGTTTCTCCCCACGTCTAGGGATGGCTCTCATGTGATGTGCTCCTGAGCCTCTCTGGTTCTGGATGGGAATGGGCCTGCGCTGGGGCCGCCCCGGGACACTGACGCCCTCCCCAGACAGGGAGGCGCCGGTAGGACGGGGAGGAGCCGCCGTCCTCGCGCTCCTGCAGGTGCTGTCGCCTGAGCCTCTGACCCGGCCGCCTCTGCAGTGAGGGGACCCCTGCGCCCCTGGCCAACCCGGCCTGCGCCCATGGCCTTTCTGACCACCTGGAAGGGAGCAGCCTCCTGGAGAGGCGACCGCAGGTACCAGGTGGGGCGTGGGGGAATAGGTGTAGGGAGGCGGTGGGAGGAAACCAAGGGGGTGCCCTGGGGACAACAGCGGGACGACTGCTGGGTGCCAGGTAACTGCAGAGAACCCTAGAGGGCAGCGTGGCCCTCCAGTCCCCATGTGCTCCTGGCACACCTGGGCCCGCTGCCAGGACCACACCCTGTGATCCACCAGCAAGCCTTCCACTGGGCACCTGGTCCTCTGCACTTCTGTGAGAGCCCAGAGAGGCCACCCTGAGTGCAGGACAGGAGCAGGCACACTGTCCTCCAGAAGGCCCCACACTGGAGGGGGCAGCACAGCGCCTCGGAGCCCAGCCCTTCTGGGATGCGTCACTGCCCTTTTCTGAGGGTCACCTCCCACAAGTCCTCCCTATTCACATTTGACGTTTCCTCTTCTATCCTAGGGAGACTGCAATGCAATGTCCACCATCTGACTGCTAAAAGCACCTCAGGGTTGGCAAGTGCCACTCTAAACTCAGCACTTAACCCCCAAACCTGTGCCCCCATCCCTGCCAATGGCGTAGTCATCCACCCCGTGGTTGAACTGCAGCCCCAGCTCCTCCAGCCTCTCCCTCTGCACACTTCCTTTATCCTTCCTAAAACACCGACCGTGCCGTTTCTCTGTGGTGTCACCTAGAGGCTAAAGTTCAGAGCCCTGGCGGGAAGGGGTTGTGACCCGTCCTAGCCTATTTCCCGTCATTCCCTTACTGCCCCAGCAGTGCCACATGGCCCAGTGTTCTCGCTGCTGGGCTTGGGTCTGCTCGTGGCACCCGGAAGCCTCCATCCTGACATAAAACTCATCCTCAGGTGACCTGTTTTGGGGAGCCCATCTGACCCCATCTTTAGGTCAGCATCATTGTCTGCAGGGATTAGTATCTTTGCTTCTCCTTCATAGCTCTGCTATCTTTCCAGAACTGTTTCTTGTTCCTTTGTTTGGGGTTTTTTGTTTTGTTTTGTTTTTGTCTTTTTAAATTACTGGGAATCAAACCCACAGGCACTCTATCGCTGAGTTACTGTCCCAGTCCTTTATTTTTAAGTTTGAGATAGGGTCTCACTACATCGCCCAACTTGTGATCCTCCTGCCTCTGCCTTCTTCAGTCCTGGGACTACTGTCCTGCACGACCACATCTGGCTTTTTGGCACACTTTATTGAGCACTTGCACTGTTCTAAGCATGGTACTGGGCACTACAGGTACTGTGTCACTTCAGACACACGGTCCCCTGCTCCTGGAGACCCACAGACATGACCACAGAAACGATCGAACATCAGAAACAGATGCTGGGAAGGCTCACAATGAGGTGATGTGGTGCCCGGAGCGTTCCAGGAGTCAAATCTTGAAGTGTGTGTGTGAAGAAGCAGAAAGGGAGGTGGCTAGTCACAGATCAGTGGCTGAGGAGATCCAGATTTCATAGGCAAGCTGGCCAGACAAACGGAAAGAGGGCGGACTTCACTGTGTTGGAAAGCAGCGGGCCTTAGGCAGGGCACTTACGTATTTAAAGATGACTGCGCTACCCTATAGACCATTTCAACTCCGGGTCATGGTCATCTGTTTCATTTCTCTTTTCTTGCTATGTACTTGGAAGGGTTGGGAGAACCCTGCACAGAATGGGACTGACTTTGAATTTTGAGGAGGACAAGATGCCCTAGCTCTGAGGACTGGCTCTGTTTGATGCGTTTCTTGCCGGCCCTGGCCTGGCCTGGCCTGTGGGAATCCAGCTGGGCTCTGTCCTGTGAGCACCGAGGGGCCTTCCAAGTACTCTGTGAGTTGCCGATGTTGCAGTGACAGGGGTGCTGGAGGTAGGAAGATCAGAAGGGAGGCTGGCTTGATGACCCCGGAGAGAGATCCTGGGGTAGAAATGGCGGGGAGGTTAAGCAGAAAGAACTGAAAGTTGGCAAAAAGATGGGCTGGGAGGTGACCCTGAGGGCCACCAGGATGGGAGGGTGAGAGATGGAGAGGAGGGGAGGAAAGGGCCTCTGGCCATGCAGAGGTCTCCTCGTCCCTACACTGGCCTGTGATGGGAGCGCAGGTGTGGCTTGCACATGTGTGCCTTGGATGTCAGCTGGCACTTGCTGGGCACAAATACCAGAGAGTCACTTCCTCCCAGTTGCCCCCACAAAGCTCCTCAGGACCTGTGCCCTCCCCACCATCACCCTCGCCCACCACTCTGCCCTGGGCCCCACAGCAGGCCAGAGCACCAGGGCTCAGAAGGCCGCTCACCCTTTGCTCGCCACTCACTGGCTTGGTGACCTTGATCCAGTTACTGGATCTGAGAGGGCCTCAGCTTACTCAGCATGGGAAGGGAGCACTATGAAGTCACACTTTTTAAGGACCTAACGGTTGTGGGGATGTGTTTTGTGTTCAGTTCACTTCCTCCTTTGTGTTGCTGTGAGGATATCTTCCTACCAGAGCACTTGTATTGAACAGAAAGGGTTGTGAAAGGGTTGTGGGGTTGATGGTGACACCAGGCCTTGGTAACCTGGACCTAGCAGGAGGAGGAGATGGGCCTGTCCTGATGCCTGTGTGTCTCCCGGTGGGGACCAGCACCTGCCCGCCCTACAGTAGGGCTCCTTCCTAGCAAACCACAGGCTCTGCTTGTGGTGAGGCACACCTCTAAGGCAGAGGGGAAGTGCGGGCAGGTAGCTCGGAAGGCTGCGTTAGCGGGAGAGCTGTAAGGGATCAAATAGGAGGTGGGGGTGTGGTGCACAGCTGAGGTCACTGAGCAGGCCTTGCTGTGAACCTGTGGTATGAAGTATCCAAATTCTCATGAGTGAGGGCCGCCCCTGCCCATTCCCCTCTGAGTCCACCAGCTGTTCGTGAAGCTCTGAGAGCAGAACTAAAAAATCTTCCCTGGCCACCTCTGGGATCTGTATTCAGTTATGTCTTTGCCAGACTCTGCCATTCTTGCTCTGATCACCACCGCCACCCTGAACTGGCAGCAGAACGCTCTTGACATTCTTTACCCAGTGTCGGCTTTGTGCTCACGCAGCCTGCTCGAATGCACACCACACACTGGGCAGCTTATAAACAGTGGAACTGTGTTTCCTGCAGTTCAAAGGCTGGGAAACCCAAGATCAAGGCAGATTCAGGGTCTGGTGCTCCTGGCCAGGCTATCACTTTTAATGCCTTAGGAATCAGGGGTTCACAGAAGGTTTTGATGATGCCACAGCTCTTGTCTGAGTCCCTCGGCATCTGGAAGGAGCCGCACTCGAACCCCAGTGTATGTCTTCCAGCTTCTCCCTTCCTAGGAAAGAGGAGCCGTTTTCTCTGTTAACTCCAAAGCCTCCCTTCCCTATCCCAAGAGCAGTGAATAGCAGTGCAGAAATCTATTGCTTTCAAGTAAAATCCTTCTCTCACCCTATAAATGGTTTTTACTGCACAAGTCTCAATAGGCCTGGATGGGGGGCATGAGGTGCTCCATCCTGGGGGGACCCAGCTGAGATACTCCACTCCTTTTGACCCCTTTCATTCCAACAGGTATAGAGTTTGTCCCTGCTTTTTGCCTCCGGCAGTCTCAGATGTCCTCCCTCAGCCCTTGTAGAGCTGGCTCTGACCAGCGCCCACATCCTGCAAGACTCAGCAGCACAGCACCTTGATTCATTTGCAGCTGAAAACACCATCCAGTCCACCAGGCAGAGGAGTTGCGCCTCAGACTGAAGGCAACTCTGCTGTCTAAGAAAATGAGTGGGCAACACTTGTTTTACACCTGGACCACAGAAGAGCATGACCCTGGCCCCCTGTCCTAGCTGCTCTCCCTGGACACCATCTGAACTCGTCCTCTGCTTCCAGAGTGCTTTCACTGCTTCTGTGCTCAGTCTTGTCCGTGCCCCTCCAGGCAGCATGTGACACTCACCCATCTTTTACCCCCCACGTGACTGACCAGAGAGACCCTGAGGTCCTGGGAAGCCACCCACTTTGTGTGGCTAATGGGAACCCCTTTTCTCTGGGATGCCTCTTGTGGTCCCATGAGGGATCTTTGGCTTATTTGGTGCTCACAGCAATCCTGTTATCTCTGCTTCCTAGGTGAGGAAATTAGAGCTAAAAGAACAGTGCTAAGGATCTGTTCCAAGAGCTTTTTTGGTTTGTTTTTTGAAGTAAGGCCTTGCCATGCATAGTAGTTTGGGCTGGCCTTGAACTCATTATGTTGCCCAGTCTGGCTTTGGACTCGAAGAGATCCTCCTGCCTCAGCCTCCCAAGTGCTGGGATTATAGACATGTACCACTACACCTGGCCAAGAGCTTTCTGTGTATTATCTCACTGAATCTTTGCAACAACCTATCATCATCACTGTTTCAAAGATTAAATTGCTGGCCCAGGGTGTCAGAGCTGGGGTGCCGTTCTAGCTTTGGAAGATGCCCTCTGTGCCACTCCATACCCTGCCTTGAGCCTGTCTTGGGATGACTTACCTGAGTCTGACCAGCTGGGACACAGCAGGGCCTCGTATCCATCCAGATCTTCCCAGCTTTGCAGCAGCCCAAGTTCTAGCCCCAAACAGGACACCACTCCATGCTAGAGGCCCCATGAGAGTGCCATCCCTTCATATCTGTCAGAACTGTTCTTGGTCCCTTGTGCCTGCCCCACACTCCTTCCAGAGGACCACCCTTCTGGAGATCGGACTTGGGTACATCATGGAGGAATAGGATCCTCAGTCCCAGAACATTAAAGCAGAGAAGGCCTTTGAGCTCCCCTCTGTATGAGGAAGGAAGAGGGAAACTAAGAGAGAGTAGGACTGTAATGTGCCTAAGGCCACATAATTAGTAGGGGGCAGAATCCAGGGGAGGGAAGAGACCCATCTCAGGGGCAGACCTAGATGCTACCCCAGGTGTGACTGCCAGGGACTATGTCTGTCATGGGCCTATGTTGTTGGACCTGCTCCGTTGTGAATTATTAACCAGCCCAAGCCTGTAACCTGCTATGTGGAGATGGCTAAGAAAACCCCGCTCATGGACCCCAGCTCAGCTGGCTGGTGGTGGGGCCTCTGGGCTGGCAGAGACCACAGGGGCAGCGAAGGGCACTTCCTTCCAGGAAAATGGCGAACAGGAACAGGAAAGATCACCCAAGTAATGCTCAGTTATCGCCACACATGCTTGAGAGTTTGGGTTACTATCCAGAGTTTACCAATGGAAGACAGATTCAGAGCTGGGTGCGGAGCTAACTTCATAGCTTCAGCTCTTTCTGGGACAAGGGCACAGGTTCACCCACCCCTCCCTTCCTCTCATCTTCTCCCATTTCCTATAGGATAAGGAATCAGACGTGGGTTAAGCTATGTCTCGACTTTGGTCAAAGTTACATTTGATCCTAGCCTCAGTTCCCTCATCTGTAGGAGAGGAGGCAATATGCCCACAGACTCTCTGTGGCAGACTCTCTCAGGTAGGGGCTGAGAGATGGCACAGGTGAAAGCAATCCCTGGAGGAGGAGCTGGGGCCCCTGAGGAGGTGGGGACTGGCAATCTGTTCTTTCAGGTTGGGAGGAAATGAGGAGGGCAGCAGGCCTGGCATCTCCCAGGCATTAAGCCCCGGGAAACAGGTCCTCTGATAGAGAGGGAGGGACCCGGGACTCAGGATGCCCTCCCAGACCCTGGGGCTCAGCTGTCAGCTGTCTCAGGTGGGGTAACAAGCCTGGGACCTGAGCAGGGGCATTGGGTTGGGAGGCAGAAACAATGATAGTGACTCATAGCTCCTGGGGGCCAGGAATGGCCCAGGTGGAGCCTCCCACAGGTGGGTCCGTCTGATACTGTGACTCACAGGTGCCTGGCCCAGGATCCCAGCACTGAGCCAGGTGCGGGGAGCTGCAGCTCCAAGGGCTCACTGGGCTCAGCTCCTGTCTGTAAAGTGAGACAAGCAGAAACCAGGGCCCACCCCAGACATCACTAGGCCCTGTTCTGGGCACTTTCCACCCATGAATTCATTCTTGGCAGGTGAGAATTCTACCACTGAACCACTAATGCTGATGACCATGCATGGATTCTTTATCCTTACAGCAGCCCTTGGAAGTAGGCAGTGTTATTTCCATTTTACTGACAAGGAAGCTAAGGCTCAGAGAGGTACCATGTGGGGTGGGCAGCAGCTTTTGATGCGTGTCAGCTATTGTGAAATAACTGGCTGGGAGGAAAATGACAGCGTGCTGGGCCTGTATTCATGGCTGGTGATTAGTCAGGCGCCAGCAGCCAATCTTGAGACACAGAGATGAACCTGACCAGAGCCTTCCCTTAAGAAGCTCCTAGCTTGATAGCAGAGACACCCCATGAAAACCTTTCTTTCTGCTTCCCCAGGCCTGAGCACACACCACACCCAGGCAGTGACAGCCATGGGGATTAGGATAGGTCAGGGGGGTTAGGCAGTGAGTACCCAGAAAGCTCCAGAGCCGGCCAGCCAGAGGTCTCTGGAAGAAGGAACACTTGTGGGGTAAAGAGGAATTTGGGCTTGTGGCAAGTTTTTTTTTTTCCCCAAGTATTGATGATTGAATCCTCGGGCCTTAGCATTGATCACATCACAGCTCTTTTTAAATGTTTTGAGACAGAGCCATGCTAAATCACAATTTGAGGCTGGCCTCACATTTTCCATCCTCCTGCCTCAGCCTCCCAGAGTGCTGGGATTACAGGCACAAGCCACCACACCCAGCTATGTGGTAGATTCTAAATAAATGTTCATCAGAGACAGTAAAGATTTACCCAGGAACTAATGTAGCTGAAAACTTTTGGGGTCCCCACTCACAGGCCTGACTTTTCTGAGACTCCAGGATAGCCCTGGCAATGTCATATTAGTTTTTGGAAAAGAGGCCTCTCAGTGGTGAGCTTCTACTCCAGCCCTGGTTACACGAATGAATAAAAAGTGTATGTTCTAGGTGAGCGAACAGCAGGTGCAGATGCCTGTTGTGAGGGTGCATGGTACAGGAGGGTGCCCAGCTTTTCCCAGGCTGTCTCCTGTCACACACTGCTTATGTCTCCTCTCATGCCACCTCACACACTACAGCTGTCAGCTCCCCCTACCCTGATTCCTTATGGTGGGTGTCGCCATAGCAGGCTTTTGTAGTTAATTACCTTATTATTTATTTTATTTTTTTTTACTGGTTCT